GATCAGTATCAGGAAGAGAAATGAAGGTTTGTTTTTTAAATTTAAATATTGCATATTTATATTGACAATGGGAGCCTGAACATGGTTTGTTTAATAAGAACCCCATGACCATCTTATGTACCAGTTAAATCAACTGTGTCACTTAATGAAATGTTTCCTTTAGTTCAGAGCCTTACAAACATTTTAATTGACTGCTCTTCATTAAGACTCTCAAAACCAAAAACAATTTCTCAGCCTCCACAAGGACAAATGAAGGTTTAATACAGCGCACTGAAACATCTGAATCGTCCTCACACAGCTCCCCTGGGACATCAGGAGTCATTACCATTGAATATGTTTGCAACAGAGATTGTTCAAAACACCACTGAGAAAGTGTGTGAGCCAATGCAGATCGCAATTTAAAGCTCAACAGGAACAGGAATACAACAAAAGCAGCCTAGACTCTTTTCCCATACTAAAACCCAAGATGTTCTTAAAAAACAGAGACGTGGGAAGAAATAATTATGCTTCTCCCTACACAGATGATTCCTCTGAGATCAGGAACTGGAGGAAAGAGTCTTTCAAACATGGCAAGAGCTGGATTAGCCTCACCAGCTTTGCACAGTAATGCATTAAATGACATGGAGAAGTTACCAAAATGCAGGTCTCAGCGTGACCTCTTTTTCATTGATACCACTCCTCTTACCAGCCTTGTTAAGTCCTTATTCTGCTTCCTGCTGTCCCAGCCCAGCCTGCCATGGCACCTACAGCCCCAGGCTCTCTCAGGCTGTGGGTGGCCCCCAAGCATGGGAGCCGTGAATGGTGCAGCACCAGAACTCTCATCCCTCCTGCCCAAAGGCTGGTGCTCTGCCAGTGACACCTGGACAAAGTGACCCATCTGGGAAGCACAGGCAACATGGTCGCCCTGCTAACATACACCTTGCAAGATCTGTGTTTCCTCTTCCTCTGGAAAAGATCCAACTGTTTCTCAGTTTGGTCTGGTACAAGGACTCACCACTTCCACCAAAGCCCTGCTGTTAAGTGGCCTTCAGCCTGCACAGCAAGATGTTTTCACAGCATCTTAAAAACATATATTCCTCATCTCCCCCAGAGGTATGCACCAGACACAAGTGTCCTGTGGGCGGGCTCTGCTTTGGGACCCTGAACAGGACCTTCCTCTCATGTATCATCAATCCAAAACAAATGCCATGAAACCCTATCTCTTTTTTAATACCCTCTTTTTGTGATGGAGGTTGCTTAAAATTACTGCAAGAACAAACCTCTGTTACTCTTTTAGTTACCCCATGTGTTTGATGTTAAAAGAAAAACCCTGTGTAAAGGGTCATCAGACAATGACTTTTAAGATCAAAATTTCATCTAATTCTTCCTTGGGCCAAATTCAAAATTGGAATCACTCAGTCAAAGTTAACAGGTTGCCACCAGGAATATGCTTGGCTCAGTGGGCTTAATGAAGGTCATTAAATTGCTTTCTATCCAAGTGGATTTCTCTCTCAATTTGAAATTTATAGCTTAATACCTTAGAGCTCAATTACAGGGTAAAAGAGACAGAAATAAAAGTCACAGCTTTCCTGTAATTAGTCGTGTGGGATAGTTCAAACAGAGCTTCATTTCTAGTACCAGAGATCTTTCTCTTTCCTTCCTAGGAATGCTAGTCAGAAAATAAAAAGCCCAAAACATCCTGCAAATTCTGGAGTCTAGTAACAGAGACTGCAAACAAATTCCTTTTACTCAGTCTCTGCATATCACTTGCAAAAGGTTAATCATAGAAACCTGTTTGCCTTTTTATAGAGGGCAATTGCAAACACTCTCAGATCATCAGAAAGGAAGGACAGGCAGGAGGATACCTGTGCTCTGAGCTGTAGTCAGGTCATGGAAAAAATCAAATGTGTACCCTCCAAAGGAGCACAGCCAGGAGTCAGACGGAAGTCTTTAAGTCTCTGCACTCTTAATGATCAACAAGAGAGATTTGTACAGACATTTCATTACAAAAGGTAGGAAGTGTTCTCTTCTGGGTGTGAAGAGACACCATGTATTTCCTTTTGCAATATTTTACGTTAACTCACCACCTATTTTCAAAGGAATAGTGTAGAAGAGTGAGGAAGAGCCAGACAGAGCACATGTTCACTTGTGAAGTTTGGTTTTGCGTTTCTAGTGGCTTTTAGTTAGACTGTTCTGGAAGGCTTGATGAGGACTTGTACTGATGCTTTACAAAATGTTCTGGTGATCCCACCAAGTTGTTCAAGCCTTCATCTATTCAGATGTTGGCTGACATATTACTTTCTTTAATCTTTCATTTTAAGGACAACATGTAGCTTCTGTGAGCCATGATTTACATTTATACACCACCATTACTTATAATAGGACCAAACAGAGTAATTTGCTGTTTCCCTCTATTAAGATGTAACTGTGTTTTGATACTTGGCAAAACTCTGCATATTTCTAAAATAGATGGTAAATTCTATTATTAGACATGTTAAATTTTGAGTACAGGTACTTTCTGTTCTTGAAATTACTTGTGCTTGTAAAAGCAAAGAATTATGTGCCTTGGTAATTGAAAGCAAATTTCAGCTATTAACCTGCTTTTCTGCAACTGTGTATGTTTACATACTTGAAGCAGACCAGGAACATCATTAATGTTGATATAAGATGTGCCAGCCTTTGTTCTGGGTTGTAGAGAAAGGCAAGAAATTGTGCAAGTCTGGACCAAGGGATTCTACATGCAACCCATGCCTAAAGCTACTGGAAGTAGAGAAGGGCACAACTCTGAACAGTCAGAAACCATTTGTTGTGCTAATCTTACCAGCACCTCACAAGAACAGCAGGCTCTTTCAGCAGCTACTGCACTTTCCCCTTTAAACTTACTCCTCTTCCTTTATTCCCAGCATCTGTTCATTCAGTTTAAACAATTTCCTGTTTTCCTAATAGAGGGAGAACTGATTAGACACGGAGCCTATTTGCTGTACACTGGCCAAAATTGTGGATTGGGTGGTTATTTTTATTATTTCTAGCTGCACTTCTGGAGATCCCATTAATTCTGAGGCTCCCTGATATAGCTTTGGTATGTACAGGAAGAAAACTGAGGCCAAGGGGGAACACGATATAAAGGAAATAAAGGCCATGAACACATGGCTGGAGCCAGCCGGCCCCACACTCAGCACTCACTCGGAGGTGCTGGGCCAAGAGGCAGCTCCAGCCCAGGAGAGGTGGCAGTGTGTCAGGTGAGAAAACCTGCCCACAGGCAGGCAGAGCATGCTAGCAAAGCCTTGGTGCTCTGCTGACACAGCCTGGTGGCTTGCAGCTATCAGTGGGTGCTGGTCCACCAGCCACAGCCCAGCACTGTGCCCATCCTGCCCTACCTGTGGTGCAGTTGTGCCCCAAAGCTCACACAATCTGCCAAAAGCAGAGTCTCTGTGTCCCCTGCCAGCCTCCTGCACCACCCTGCCTTCATCCTCAGAATTTCCTGCCTCCCTTTTCACAGCCTACTCTTGCAATGTTCAAGTTTTATTTCATTTAAGGAAAAGCTCTACAACCTGATGCTCTCAGACGTGGTTGGAGTGGTGTTTCACAGTGCCCTTGAGCAGAGACACAAGCCCAGCTGCCGGACCATGCACACAGCAGACACATCCCCAGCTTCCTGTGAGTCATGCCAGCCAGTGACTGCTCTTACGCACACCAGGCTGATTTTCAGCCTCACCTTTCTGTTAATTCACAGATAATTTGCATGTAAGCAACTGCAGCACTTCTCAGCTGAGGGCCAGGACAGGCTCCCGTGGAGCAGCAGCAGGGCAGGGCCCCGGGAATGCAGCAGGGAGAGGCAGCAGCAGGACTAAGGAGTGCATGGAGAGTTTGGGGTTCACCCTGCAGACATAGCTGAGGGGATCAAATCTGAGAGAGGCTGAGCTCTCATCCCCCGGGTTTGGATCAGATCCTCTTGAAGGAAAACTGATAGCAGACTCTGGCCCTATGGCACTGCCCTGTCCTGGGCGTGTGTCCCACTCCCAGCCTCCACAGTGGGAGTGCAGGCACGGAGTGAGGACAACCTACAGCTCCGTTTCAGTGCTTTTTCTCCAAACAAACAAAATCACCAAGCCTAATTTGCTCAAGCAACAATGGATCAAATTCTATTTCTCTTAATACTAAGTGGAAAAAGAATTTAAAAAGACAGTTCAGGCTTCCAGTCAGGAGTGGGATGATAGAAGCCTTTCTTCCATGGACCTTACTTGTGTTGTGCATGGCCAGAAGTGGGGTCACAGCCAAAATGAGACCTGCTCTGGCCATACTGAGCTGAACCAATCCTGGTCTACCAGTCTGGAGCATCTCCTAAGCCTGGCTGCAGGGATGCTGTATGTGGGACACACATTGCTCAGAACAGAACATCAACTAAAGAGGCCACAAACACCACAGAGACGAACAATATTTCACCATTTGTTGTGAGTGAAGCCCAAGCTCTCAGGATAATACCAGCGATGTGTTTTGTTCCACATTGACTGTGAAGGGTTCTTTCCCCATTGTACTGTGCCATTACACACAATGTCTCTGGTTCACAAGGTGGTAGAGTGTACCAGTACTCACTGGTGACCTCTTTGCGTTTACAGACAGGAATATACTAAAAGAACATGAACTAGTGTGCACTTTGGCAATCATAAAATAACATATCCACAATTTGAGGCATCCTGGGTGTATAGACAGCATGGCTTTCCCTCATTCTAGGCCTTTAGGCACTGAAAACAGTCCCTCTGTTGTTTAGAAGTCTTAATTTTATCCAGAATCTCAAGACAATGATTATCACATAGCGAAAGACGCACATGTACAAACATTGACTCATGGACATGGAGTCAGGCTAGTGCTGTGCCCATTCACAGGGACCTGGCAACAAAACTCACCAAGGACTGAACAGCTTTTTACCCACTGACTGCAGGAGCAGCCCAAGCAGCTTTGCACTTACATGATACAAAAGGGAAAACCCAAAACGATCTTAAACCAGCCAGGCTGTTGCCTACCTTTTCCTGAAGGGAAGAAGCAATCCATCTCCACGCTGCTGCGGGAATGGGAAATGCAGAGAGCGCTGCTGGGGACCAGACCCTCCTGAGGTGGGCTCCGCTCCGTGGTCCTGACCAAACACCAGCCTGGCCTCTCGCTCGGCCTCTCCAGCAGCTCCACTGTCTGCCCCACCTGAATGCTCAGCTCGCTGCTGTGGCTCGCTGTAAAGTCCTGGAGCACCACAGTTAGTTCACACCCTCCAGACAACTGCCCAGGTTCAACGGGAAAAAAAAAAAAAGAGTAGATGTTAGCGAGGGTAGGATGAAAGCAATCATCTTTGCATCATATTTACACTGGCAAAGACAGGATTTGTGTTCCTTAGAAGCCAAGTTAATAATTTGTTTTGTCAAAGTTCAACACATTGTGGCCTTGGTTTCCTTTACTTCTTATTGATTTTGCTGGGCTGAAGTGAGACACCAAAGATACCATCCTGTAACCTTTTGAATGCTAGCTGTGGGGGAGTTTTTGAGCTGTGAATTTTCTAGCTGTGAGTGTCCATCAGAAACCCTGGGGGTTTTTTGTTGCTTTAATTTCTGGGGTCACTTTCTAGCTTGGCAATAGCCCAGGATGCCTCAGTGCTGTGCTTCATGGTGTGACAAATTCCAGCTCATCCCTCCAGAGCATAAAGGAGACACATTCCCACTGGCCACCAGTGCAGTGAGAAAACAGCTTCTCTTCTCTCGGAAGACAAGAAATGTACTCTCATCTTCCCAAAGTTGCTCTAGGGACCTCTTGGGAGACTATGAAATCCTGATAGGGCAGATTAGAAAAGCTCCTCCCATGCTCTCTGATGGAACCCAGAGGTGTAAATATATAAACACAGAGTGATTGATTATATGCTGACTTTCAGGATTTGTACCTAGGAATAAATGTATCGTTTTACTTCCGTACTAAATGCTGGAACTGCTGCTCTGCTTCAGTCTCACACCCTGTTACTCTTGAAGAACAGCAGTGTAACCACAGTCTCTGTATATCCGGGGACTGGGAATGTAAGCACTTGTGTGTGCATAAAGAAGTGATTGCACAGATTTGTTTTTAACAAAGCTTGGGTTTTCTTTAACAGAATTGGATCTCAGAGTTAGATTCTTGTGTGTCTAAAAAGGTGTGAGAATGAATCTAAGTTTTTCTGGCATGAGGAGTCTTTCTTAATGCTCCCCTGCAGTGTGGATTTCTTGCTGCCTGCTTGTTGTTAGGGATCCTCCTTCTTTGTCCTGTGTGCTGCCTGCTTCCCCAAGGTTTGCAGGAATCTTTGGGGTCCTTATTCCAATGCCAAATTTGATAGAAATTTTGATAGAAATTAGTTCACTGATTCAAATGTTATTAAGATGAGGACAGTAAACAAGCATAATACTATAATTTTCTTAGGATATGAAACAAAAACCAAGGCTAATATACAATGAATTTAAGTGAAGAACTTGTAAACCCAACGGGTTTAATTGGAATTGGAAGAAATCTTGTCAGATCCAGAGTTAACTGTGGAATCAGTAAAAACTGGGGTCTGCTCCTCAGCTTGAATGGGGGAGCCCTTGAGGAGAGCACACAAATCTCTATAGATTTCACTCTTGAGCTGGTACAATCTCAAAATCCCTTATCTTAGCCCAAGCAGCCCCAAATACTGACTCCTATGGGAACAGCCTGTCTCCCCTCTCAGTGGCATAGGGGTTTTTGTGTCCAATGCAGATGTGAAAGAAATCCCACTCACAGGGGTGATATTCACAATTACAGAAAGGGGTCAGTGGACAAGGACTGGTTCTCACCTGTCCTGTGTCTCTGCCGTAGACGAAATGCTAGATTTGGGGAAGAAGAAGGAAATATTTCTCTGAAAGATTATTTGTAAATAAATAGAAAAAAAACAAACAAAACCAACCATGGCAGCTGTTTGAGGCCATTCAGACAAAGCACTGGCATTAATCCTGGCAGAAAGAGCTCAGTGCACTGATGAAAGTGCACAAGAGGTCAGTGTAGCAGCTAATTGGGCAGTTTATCAGCAAACCCACCACTCATCACGCTGACAATCTCCCCATAACTGGAGAACAGACATTCACAGGGATGGTAAGAATGAGATATTGCTGTAATATTTGCTGAGGTTTCTTTGCTATGGACTAATTTAAAGAATAGAAAATCTTCCTGACCAAATATAGTATACGATTTGGCATGGTGTGGGATATTTAAGACAGGAAGAAAAAAACTGATTACTTCTTGCTAAATACACAGACATCTCTTACCAAAAGTGATGGATTTCCCCTAGTTCTTACACTGTTCCACACTAAATAAACTTTCTGTCCCCGAAATTATGATATCTCTGATATCTTCTCTGAAAATAATCAAATATCTCCTCCTTTTAGAGGACAATGTGAACAAATACTCTGTTGTATCTCTCAGCTTCTCTCCCAGAGAGCTGTTCAGAGCATTCCATGCCCTGTCCCGTTGTACCACTAGGTGTCCGTCTTTGCCATCCCACAGCAACTGAATTTGCTATAAAGAATTAACTCTTGCTTGTCTTCGAGGTGTTTATCTAATAAAGAGGTGCAGTGTCTGGACATGAAGGAGCTGGTTCAGACTGCATCCCCAGACTCATTGCTTTCAGTGATATGCGCAGAGGATGTTCCAGAATATTTAAAAATTGTCTTTATATAGTTCAGATTGAATTTTGAAAAAGAAGTAATTTTTACTGCTTAAGCAGGGAAGGTGAAACAGACTGGGAATATTCCAGAGAAAAAGGCTTGGTCAAGATGACACTTGGGAAATTTTGGGACAAATAAAGCATTTTCCAGTGAGCATCAGCCTGGGAAGTGCTGCCCTAAGCAGCTCCCTGCCCTCCTCACTGGGGGCTGAGGGGCAGCTGACCTAACATCAGTTTATGGCAGGCTTTGTCATCCCTTCCAAAAGAACTAAACATCTGTGAACAAACAGATGCTTCAATTTGAGCAACACCTGTAAATGTTATCCCAGAGGAGGCAGGTGTGCTCCACAACCCTCGGGTACCATCCAGCTCTGTGTGCCTGTTTTCTTCGATTCATTAAAAACAGCAATTGAATATAATGAGAACAGGAAGTGATCATCCCCTGGAGGAGCTCCTGGGCACCTGGTGTGACCAAGTTCTGCCTCAGCAGGTGAGATTCTCGTCCCCCCACCTTCAGACCATACCTTTGATGTGTGAGGAAGGGAGCTTGCTTCCCTCAGCTCCCTGGAGGCCTGACTATCCCTGCAGACATATGAATTGATATCATCTGCTCCTCCAGGACCCGCTGGATGGAAATGTGGGCCAGGGCTTCCACATGCTCCGACTGACTGGCTGGAGCCAGCGCTAAAATAACACATTTTCAAGGAAAGACCCCTCTTTGGCAGGTGGAATTGAGCAGTTTCCCTTTTACAGGTAGGTGCAGGTGGTAGGTATGAGCAGCTAGCTCAGGAAGGGCCTATAGATTATTTTTAGGTGCCAGCTCCAGGGAACAGAAAAGGAGATCCTTTTGCCCAAGGACTTCCAAGTACTTCCCAGGCCTGTTCCATGTCTTACATACCACCACACCACAAAGAAAACTTTCTTACCAAATTAATCCACAGCAAAGTAATCTCTCTGGAAAACTTATGATATAATAATATATATAAAATTTGTCAGCCACTGAGGAATAATGCAAATACATCTGATTCCCAATGACAGAAATCATTTCACCTACAAAGTGATCACTCAAGCTGTTACTCAATTTGTTTTTAGAGAACAATTTTCCAACTTGAGAGAAGTATATCATGCTTCCCTCTATGCTGGAGCATGGAAACAGGAATACAGATGGACTGCTGGTTTCTCACACATATTGCATTTGTTTTGGAAAGAAAATAGAGAATACCCTTGGGGTTGAAATTCACAGGTAAATGGCTTCACATTTTAACATATGATGTTCACTTTTATTATTCCTGTGATTAAAACCACCATTAAAGCCACTGACTGGATACATTTAGAACCCAGACAGCACTCTAATCTGTATATGGCAGAACAAGACACATTAAAATAAAAATAACAATGCAACATGCCTTTGCAGAGCACAAGGCATAACTGAAAGATCTAACACAGGGACAGATCTAACAAGTTACACAGCAAGCAACAGCCTTAAAATCAGGAAAAAAAGGAAATGGTGGAAGCAAATAGCAAAATGTAATGAGGAAGCAAGAGGGCCCCAAGCTGTCTGGAGTGGCTGTATGTCCTGAGAGAAGCTGGCAGGAGCCCCAGCCTGTCTCCACAGTGCCTGCCATCAGTAAACCATCTCCCATCCTCTGCCTTCATGTGTTCCTGGGCTAGAAAACACCACTGTGCATTCAGTGTGTAAATGTTTTCATCAGGATAATCTAATCATCTCACTCTAATCTGGTGATCAAACCCGAGCTAGAGTGGATCCCTGCCTGTTCACCAGTGCGGGCAGAGACCCAGCCACAGCCCTTGGGAACTCCCCTCTCTGCTGCAGGACACTGCCGCCACACCTCAGAGCATTGATGAGAACAGTTTATGTCACACTGACTCTGGGAATGAGTTTTGTCACCCACATGAACCTTTCTGCTCCTGGGAACACCCACTCCATGCTCATCAGCCACAGGAGAGTGAAGTACAAGCAACCAAAATGATCCCAGGCATGGTCACATCCTGTTGTGGCAGTGTCCAGGCTGCTCCAAGAGCTCCAGTGACCAGCAGGCACTGGTCAGTGCAGGATGAGCATGAGATTGCCTTTCCTCAATCACAGTGTATGTGTGCATGGTCACTGTGCACCTGTTTCATTTTCAGCCACAAAGCAGAAGCCAGAGGAAGCAAGGCTGAACACCAGAGGCATATTTATCATCAGAGTGCAGATGGAAAACACCTACCAGTCAGTCTGTCCTTCCTTCCTTCAAATAAACCCTTAAAATAGATCTTAAGTAGTACTAAATCCACTCCAGGTGAAAGTGAAAGTGGGCATGGTTAGCTCTCCAACAGGGTGAGCAGGTATTTGGGAGGTGGGTGTCTGCAGTCTGTTTAAGTGTTTTGAAATATGCCAACACTGCTGTGGAAATCCACACAAGCTGGTTATTTACATCTATTCAAGAGGACACAGAGCTCGGCTAGTTTAAACAAAACATTTTGTGTGCTGCAACACTATACCCTAATATAAATTGCTAGTTTTCTGTTGCTTTTAGGCTTTCTGCCTGTCTGGTTCTGGATGAAAGCCAATTTTGAATAGAAGCATTTAGTCACCATAAACAGCCTATTTCAAGAGGGTGAGAGAGGCAGTGGGAGCAAGAATGGGATTTGCATTCTTATCAAGAGATTAAAAAAAGTGAATAAAACCACTTAGATGTTGTTTCTGTCTGCACTGAAATAAATTCAGGAGCTGTCACTTTAGCTGGGGGATGGACATGAGAAATCTTATCCCCTGCGGAGTTCTTTGTGAAAATTTCTGTAATTTCATAGAGATTTTCTTTTTACTGGGAGGCTAGAGAGTGAGAGATCAAATTCAGAAAAAGCCTTTGAGGAATTTCAGTGCTAGAATTGCTTTAGTTTTTTTTACTCTATAACAGGCTCTGTTTGGAGTGTGAACTCTGAGTCACCCATGTTTGTCACTCTAAAGCCTCTCAGCTCTAAAGGATGCTGAGCTTTGGCAATGCTGGTGGATGCTTTGCTGCATCTGTTCAGGGCTGTTTCTGTGGGGACAGGCTGTATTTCAGGAGCTATGGGCTAACCAGGAATAACCTAGTGCAGTCAGTAGCATTGCTCTGCATTGTTCTGCATTGAAAACTCAGTGAATAGTTCTGAATTGAAATAGTTCTGCATTGAAAACTCAGTGGAAAATGCTTGACTCATCTGAGTCCTTCAGCCCCACTACCCATCTTCCATTAAGACAGAGTTGGTGCTTCCCACTCTTTCTGTTTTGTCTGACTGAACAGGGAGGATCACTGCTCGAGCTTCAGGGGAAGGTCTGTTTATATTTAGGCAATTACTCAAACACATGGCTGGGGTAATGGTGACGTCCAAAGGGCCAAATGTACCATCTTTGCTCTTCTCAACAAGGAGATAACAGAGGCATCTGGGTGTGCAGCATCACAAATATAGACACAGCAAGTTATTCCACAGCACGGAGAAGAGACAGATGGCACGTGGGGGCATATAAATATGCTTAAGGAAAGGAAATCTGGTGCTACAGTCTCAAATAGCACATACCTTTCCAGCTTCTCTTGCTGGAGTCCCTACTAGACAACCATACCCTGACTCTGCTGGATTTTGGACTCCGGCACATGCTGACATCTGCTGAACAGCTTGAATGGAACTGTCTGAATTTTTTCTGGAGCCTTTTTTCCAGAAAGTAAGACTAAAGTTGGTCCAAATGAAACAGCATTTCTAGCTAATAAAAAAATGCTTTTGAAGATAAAGACAACCAGATTCACTTTGTTTCACGCAACGAATTGAACCAGAACGTGCCTGTGTTTGATCTGAGGGTTTCCTCATGGCATTTGGCTCAGGGAGCTGGTACCCAAATTCCATTCTTTTCCCTTCCCTGGAGAAGCACAAAATGGAGCTCCTCGGTGACACACAGTCAGAACATCTGGCTCCAAAACCCTTTGGTTTTGGAGGGTGAGCAAGGCAGATGGCTGAAACCCTCCAAGGTAAACCCTACCTGCTGTCTTTTGCAGCCACAAGATTTTCTAAACCAACTCAGGGTTAAAAAAAAAAAAAGCAAGAATAGACTGAAATCAGGGAGCTGACTAGCTGTTTTCTTTCATGTTTGGCACCATTTTGAACTGGGGATCAAGGGTTCCAGTCACAGAT